AACACGTGGAGTATTAATTATTATCGTAACCACGGTTGTGCGTGTGTTGTGGTTCTATTTTCGTGCGTGCAATACGCAGTTCGTTATAGGCCGGGTTGTTAGTATGAAATGCGAATTCGTAATCATAATCAACGACGTATTCAGGTAGACAACAACTCCGGGTGGCTGATTTCGAGGGGGTGGCTAATTTTGTCATTCCTCTCATATAACTCCATTCATACTCCATTCATTTATTTCCTAAAATATTAATGTTATATTTTTATATTTTATTTTTTGGCCATAATGTATACTATTATCGTTACCTATGTCAAGTGTAAAATGCCTTATTGAACATCAAAAGTGATCTAACTGGAACCATAAATTATCACGAATGTACATTTTGAGCATATTCTGAGTTAATTTTATCATAAACTGTTTGCWAMYCCYATAGTCAGAAAATTCCTAAATACGATCCCGAAACATAAGACTTAAACACGACGGTAAAATTGTTTCAATTTATCGCGAAATTTCGATACTACAATTTTTGTAATTTTTTTTTTAAATTCGATACTTCACATGAATAATATTTTAAAAATTTGATCAAAGCTTAGACTTTTTCGATGATGCGACAATAATGTTATTATATGCAGTTGATGGTTTCGACGTTGATATCTGCTGGTCATACATATTATGTTATTATATTGTGTACGATCATATTATTGCATACGAATTAAAAAGTCCACTGGGTGTTTGATGTACTGAACCCAAAAGTGTATATGAAAAATGACGAAAATAAAAAACGCGTATGGTGTTTAGAGTAATCGAAATAGGCCTACGACTATCGCAGTGTCGTCTGTGTTAAGATAAGTCTCATCTGTTTATTCGCGACGCGGACGACCGATGTAAAAATCGCAAACGAGATAAATAAATCGATAGTTGTAATTATTGATATAGTAGGTATCATCATTCATCGATATTATTTTTCTACGACTTATAACACTGTGTATTGGTGCATAATAAGTATATAAACTCGTACTTACGTAAATATTATAGGTACCTACTTATATATTTTGTGCTTAAATATTCAAAATCTACAGAAATTGAATAAAAATACTAGTACCTACGCAAAATAAAAAMGTCGAATATTTTAATATTAAGAGGTATCATATCAAATATATAACGATCTCGTTACATATACAATACTYGTAACAAAATATGTATTTCTATATATAGGTACCCACTAACAACGTCTGAGGACTGAGAACAATAAATACCGCAGAGATTTAATATGAATAATACATATTAARATTAAGAGTCACTAAAAATATTCATGTAATATAAGTAACCTTCGAAACGAAGAAAGTTCAAAAGCCTTGACACAAGGTGCACTTAAAAAAAAAGTGTTCGTTCGATATACATTTAAATGAGACGGAATCAAATTGATATTTTCGTTGTTTTTAATAAATCATATTATTATCAAAAAAACAATAAATTCGTTCTATTTACTCGGCGAGTGAGGTATAAATCGGTTACTATATGGTCTAAAATATGCTTATATAATATATATATTATATATATATATTTATATACTCACAGTGAATACTCTGAAGTGGTTCATCGTTGTGGTCGTGTCTCTTCGTATATTTGATGTGCGTACGACCAAGTTGAACGTCTTCATCGGCAATGGAACGGAATTGATTCGTGGTTAAATAGCTACCGTACGTTTTCTCCACCCATTGTCCATCGCAAAAAAATATGATACGACCTCTATCGATCGAACACTAACTCGTTTTTTTATCATTATTATTATTATTATTTTTTGTTGTTAAAAATGACGTCGTAACACGTAGTGGACGTAGGTAGACACGAGGGAGGTATTTCATTAATCTATACTCGAGTTTACGTTAGCCTTGAGCGAATTAAAAACAAATGTACACCAAGAATGAGCGTGTGTTATATAATTAATAATTAATTATTTGTATAAGAGTATACGTTACTTGCACTATTTATAATAGGTATGAGCACAAAGATTCTGTTTCAAATAATATAGGTATCTTACAAAACGAATATAAAATAAATAATGACTATAACGAATTACGTGCCCAATGGAGAGTTGGATGCACACAGTTTTCAACGCTTCTTCAATGCATTATATTTTTCCATAATAATAATTAAACTACCAAAGAGTATTTAATATTATATAAGTCATGAACTGTTCCACGGCATAAATAAACATTAAAAACGATATTTTCGTCTACTAACCGATCATTTATTTGAAATTAATTCGTATAAATATAAATTCGACTTATATAAATAGATTTAAATATGTTTGTTTAAAGTTTACAGCTATAAATTKAATACTAAATTATGCGAAGAAAAAAATGTGGTAATTTATGTTTTTGAAATTCAAGTAATTTACTTTCATGAATAAAACAATTCTATTTCGATTTAACCACAAATATGGAGATTACTTCAGGTTATAATATTTTCTCGTTAATCGTAATTCAATAAATAAACACAATAATAGATAATTCTAAATAATATATTTATTTTCATTATAATAAGAATAATTTTAAAACAGTTATATATTTGAATTCTATTCTTACACGTAAACTTATAAACTGAAATAGTTTTTTTTTTTCTTAACTTAAATATTTTACAGATAACTACAACTGTAATACGTTAACCATTTTACCAATGTAATAGGTATGTAGTATTAATGTATAATAATAATATGTACACTTTAAATGTACCTTAATGATTAATTATGATAGATGAAATAAACTATTTCATACGTACGAGTATGTTATACAATATAATATATATTATATTAAATTTTTCACAAATATATCGTATTTATGACAACAACCAAGGTTATTGTCTAGTTTTTTTTATGAATATTATTGAATTCCAATTAAAATGTAATGCAAATTTTGTTGAAGATTGAAACTAAAGTGATTGGATTACRGAATTATAATTTTATTAAGGCATACAGGAAACGTCTAGATTTCAGTTTATCATATTTAGATCATTAATTATTATTATATGGTGTAAAATAGTTGTTTTGAAGTATTATTATCA